TACCTGCCTGCGTTGCACTCCATCAAGAAACTAAACGTGTCTATCTCAGTATGGATATGGTTGATTTAAGTCCATACAAGGGACTGATGGACGATAGGTTACCAACGACTAACTTTGTTTCGTTCAATTTTTTTCGATATAGCATATTGTTTCTAACATCGTAGATGTGACTAATTGAATCGGGAAACTTATTATTTAAGAGCTGAGCAACAATATCTTGAACATATGCATCACGTTTTTGTTCTACCGCTAACTACCCTTGATTTACCTCTACAAACTGCACAGACTTATTAACTACTTGAGCCTTGCTTTTGTCGCTCTTGGAAGTGCCCTGCTCAGGGTCATCTATGTACTCTCGGTGTAAATTTTTTTTTTTTTTTTTTTTTAACTAAGAAGCTTTGAAAGGATTGCCACCCGTGAAAACAATAAAATGATGACCATATAGCTTTTGCTTGAAATATTCTTCCGCTCGAACGACTGCCGAGGTCTCAAGTTCATAAGAATGATACTTTTATTCCGTGTCAGTTTTCCGGCGACTGAAATATGAAATAACGTGAGGAACTCCGTTCTTTCATTTAATTAAAATGGTACCGTATCCGTTGGCGCTGGCATTCGTGTGTAATTCTATAGGAGGCTCGCGATCAAATATAGTTAGAATAGACTCCGTGGTAAGTATTTGAACTATCCATTTACGGATATTACCGTGGACTTCTGACCGTTTAATTAAACCCTTTAACTTAGTGAGTAGACATAAGGATCGTACTAGGCGGAAATAGTTCGGTATAAAATTTCTAAAACAAAAGGCTTACTATAAGAATTGGTGTTAATCTCCCTAGAGTCAACATACATTATGTCAGAGTTGTCATTCGTTTTTTTACAATTAGAATGGGGCTTGATAAAGTGTAAAATGATTGTTTCAAAGAGGGCATCCATTTTTTTTTTTTTTTTTTTTTTTATATCGAACAACCTCTTATAATTTGTAAGGTCTCTCTTAGACTATGTTAGGGTCTAAAGAATTAGGGTCTAAAGAGTTAAGAGGTGCCCTTAATAACAAAATGAGTTATACTTCTTAAAAACATCGATAAGGGCTTTGTTATCGTCGCCTTCCAAATAAGTTTTGATACGAGAAAAGTTAAGATTGTCTGAGGTTGAGCACTTATCTGTTTTTGTCGTTTCAGGTTTTGAGAAAATAATGTAGTCACTGTTTATTTCTCCTTTAATTCCCTACTCTACAAGGTCCCGTCCAACAACCACGGATTCAAAAATAATATTCTCTTTAATAATATGAAACAAAAGAGACACTGAAACATTTTGAATTATGACCGGGCTTAAAATTTGTGTATTACAATAAGTCTATAGACGTAGAAACACTAATAATAATTGACTGTTAATGTACACGAAGTATGACTAGAGTATTCAGTACCGAAGCGCAAGGTTGAATGACCTTTATTCGCTAATACGATCTAATATTAAAATATTACGAAGTGGTGGGTAAGCGTGAAACTCATATCGTCGCCCGTTCGCTTCGACCGTATACTACGCGTTCAGATGCCTTTCAGGGGAACTACTTCATTGCTCAAAGTACACAGAAATTTATTTGAAAAATTTTCAGATACAGACACACATTAGTACTACATGAACAAGTACACCCACTACTAAAAAGAAAAGGAACAGTCTCACCAGATGACGTCGTCAACTCTCCTCGGTTCGGCTTATGGTCACACAGATATCTCCTTCACCGGCGAGCTTCAATTACCGGTATTTTTTACAATCAAGACGCGACGAGATGTCCTAACTTTTATATCTGCTTCCGTACGATCCAGATTGAACCGGATCAACTACGTCGTCGAAGTTAGTTGAGAAGTTGACATTATTTTCATTGACAAGTTTCTCATTATTTTTTACAAAGTTTAACATAGATGGATGATCACTACTCTCCTCATTTTAAAGCCCTTTCGATCCCACTTCTGATGTAGGAGGGCGTTGTAAGAACAGGAGGGCCTTCATGGGAACTCATACTTTGAAAGGGATAAAGTACAGTCTATTCAATACGACACCAACTAAATCGAAACACTAGATATAACTATCACTTCGATACACAGCGATTCGTCACGAGCGCGGTGCGCGGGCGTCATCCCGAACGAAAACTGTATAACCAAGATGGCCGCCCTCGCTACCATCGACAGTGACGCTTCACTAGGCTAACCTCAGACAGCTAAAAGTCAACCTGACGTATGATTTTTGACGGATGCGCCGTCATATTATTTATTTATTTATTTATTTATTTATGTACCAAACAGAAAAATAGTTACAATAAAAGTATTATAAAAGAAATGTGATGTACAAGGATAACTTATCTCTTAAAAGAGATCTCTACCAGAAACCCTTTTGATAGAGGAAATGAGAAGAGAAATGTGGCATAGGTACAATAAAATGAGAGAAGGAATATACATAAATATATATACATAAATACATACATAGAATATACATAAATATATACAAATAAATACAATATATACATAAATATATACAAATAAATACAATATATACATAAATATATATAAATATGTACATAAACATTACATATGTATTATATTAAGGTAAAAGTGATAGAAGATGTCTCTTAAGTCGATATTTAAAGGCTAATGCACTTGGACTCTCTTTGTAAACAGAAGGTGGGAGAGAGTTCCAAAGTTTTGCACCTTGGACGGAGAAGGATTTACGATAGAATTTAGTATTAAAGGAGGGGATATCAAGAGGATTTTGTGCAACACAGGAGCGATGAGGAAGGATTCTGGGGGAGGAAAATTTAAAACGTTCAAGTAGGTACGGGGGAGAAGAATGTTTGAACACATTGTACATTAATGTTAAAACATGCATATTCCGACGGAAGCGGATAGGGAGCCACTTTAATTTGTTGCGGAATTCAGAGATGTGGTCGTATTTACGCAAGCCGAAAATAAATCGGATGCATAAATTCTGAAGTCGATCCAGTTTATCGAGCAGCTCATCAGTGGCATCTAAGTAGCAAACATCACCGTAGTCGAGTAAGGAAAGAAGGAGAGATTGTACAAGAATAATTTTAGTTTTAAAAGGAAGGAAGTTTTGCAGACGTTTAAGAGAATGAAGAGTAGAGTGAATTCTTCTACTTACCTCATTCACCTGAGCTGTCCACGACAGATGACAATCCATTAATAGACCTAAGTTTTTAACCCGATCTAACAATGGGATTGTCACCCCATCGTACATTAAACAGGGTAAAGTGTCAAAATTAATTTTTTTGTAGATTTGCTTGCTTCCAATAATAATCGCCTGAGATTTTTTTGGGTTCACTAGCAAACCGAAGTCATTTGCCCATCTGTGTATAGATATCAGCTCCTCATTAACAGCCTCGATAGCTACCACAAGTGTAGATAGTGGAGTATGTCTATAAAGCTGCAAATCATCTGCATAGAGATGATAGGGAGAAGAAATATGTTTGGAAATATTATCTATGAATAAAGAGAAGAGTAAAGGAGAGAGGACGCCGCCTTGTGGAACCCCGGCATATGTGACATTCCAATCAGAGAAGCTCTCATCAGATTTCACCATCTGCCGACGTCCGACGAGGTAAGATTGAAACCATTTAATAACAGTTGGTGATATCGAGAGAGAAGAGAGGATTCCTAATAAGATGTCGAAGTCAACTGAGTTAAATGCATTACTGAAGTCTAGGAGAACTAAAATGGTTAATTCTCTGTTGTCCATAGCGTTTCGGACATCCTCTGTTACTTTCAGTAAAGCAGATCTGGTACTATGGTGGGATCGGAAACCCGATTGAAATGGGCTAAGGAGGTTATTGTGGTGAAGGTAGTCAGAAAGGTGTTTATGGATAATGAGTTCAAAAACTTTAGAAAGGATAGGGAGAATAGCGATAGGTCTAAAGTGAGATGGTAAAGTGGGGTTAGATAGCTTAGGAAGCGGGATAATATGAGCCGACTTCCAAGCAGTAGGAAATGTTCCTGATACCAAAGAAAAATTAAAAATATGAGTTAATACAGGTGACACAACGCTGAGTATTGGTAAGATCATGTCAACACTGATTTCATCATAACCCACTGCTTTGGAAGAAATGGATAAAAGAGATTTCTCGACATCATCTTCCGTTATTATGGGAAATGAAAAAGAGTTACCATTAGGTGGGGAGGTGGAAGCAAGTTTCATTAAAGTGTAATTCTTACGAGATGAAGGCACAGACACCGGAGGATTGGAGAAATGATTATTTAAATCATTTAAATTAATATTTTGGAAAGATTTCCACTTGGAACAATTACCCACACCCAATGAGTTTAGAAAGCTCCACATTTGTGAGCTTGAAGTATTACAAATAGAGGAGAAGATGTAGCGGCGCTTTGCATCCCTACACATTCTATTACAGAGATTACGCAGCTTTTTGTAGGCAGCATGGTTATCAAGCGACTGATCCTTTCTGAATTTACGTTTAGCTTTATCCCGCTTGGCCATAAAGGATTTAATTGTTGGAGTTAGCCAAGGTGCGGGATAATGCCTAACTCGTATACGTCTCATCGGAGCATGAATGTCATAGAGATTGTAAATTTCAGAATTGAAACAGTTCACTTTTTCATCAATATTCGCAGAATTGTAAAGAGGCGACCAATCTATACACAGTGCGTCAGACAAGAGGACATCAGTATTAACGCTTTTTAAACTACGGCGAAAAATTGAACGGCGTTTGTTTCTTACGGTAGAAATACTATAATTAAGGAAAATGAGGTCATGGTAAGAAAAAGGCGATGACATTTGGCCATAGGAGCGAGCATATTCAAGTTGAGATACAATTATAAGATCGAGAAGAGAAGATCCAGCGTTTGGAGGATAGTGGGTTGCAGATAAGGGAAGGACTGAAAGGTTAAAAGATGAAATTAAGGATTTCAATCTTTCGGCTCTGTAGTCATTTTTGATAAGGCAGGTGTTCAGGTCTCCCCCCCGGGGGCCGCCACCTTGTCGTGGTGGGGGGGCTTGCGTGCTCCAATGATCCCCAGGGCTATACCGGTAGGTTTTACCAAACCGGTGAGGTCTGGGGTGAGGGGCCAGACGAAGAGCGGCGAGGTAGTAAACCTTAGCAGAGTGGACTGTGAGAGCGACTTCTTGGTTTTTTGTAGGGGGGGGATGTTGTAAGTTTCCCTGGCTCATAGTGCTGCTGCCTTGTAACAGGGTCGCTGTATGGTGAGCCAGGAGCTTGCAATCGCGTAGGTTCTTCGTTGAATGTTTTGTCTGTATTGTCATGCTAACTGTCGGGGGAATTAGCTTTGAGGTCACTCCTGGTACTTCTCTGACTAGCAGAGTGGACTGTGAGAGTGGCTTCTTGGTTTTTGTAGGGGGGGGGATGTTGTAAGTTTTCCCTGGCTCATAGTGCTGCTGCCTTGTAACAGGGCCGCTGTATGGTGAGCCAGGAGCTTGCAATCTCGTAGGTTCTTCGTTGAATGTTTTGTTTGTCTTGTTATGTTATCTGTCGGGGGTTTTAGTTTTGAGGTCATTCCTGGTTCTTCTCTGATTAGCAGAGTGGACTGTGTGAGTGACCTCATCCCTATCAAGGGAGATCATCTGGTGACGTCGTTTCGCCAGTTTAACGATAGTTTAGGCTATTGTTCGAGGTGGGCCCTGGAGTGCGGGGCCTGGCGTTGTTTCTTTGAACGAACGGTGTTCCGGCCTGCTCCGCAGGGTCATAGAGGAAGACAACCTCTGAAAAAAATCACCCCAATCCCAAGGTTCGGCGCCTGCCGATGGGATGAATGGCTGGAGGGGGCGGTGGAGGTCCAGTCACTAAGGCGTCATTAGGGGGGGGGGGAACAGAAAATTATAAACATGAATAGTGCAAGAAGAAATAGAACTACCCAGGAGGGTCCCGACCTTAAGGAAGGGGAATCCCTTGCTGTCTCGGCACAAAATGTAAGCATTATGTGCGGAGACAGTCGCCCCATCGTATCTGGGGGGGCAACTTTTTGCGCAAACGAAACGACTAATGGCAAACGAAAAACGGATCAGATGATTGCAAAAAATGACAAACCCGGCGAGAATAAGGAAAAAGAGATTTTGGAGCCCTCACGCTCGACTGTGGCATCAACGCTGAAACAAGCGAATGTGCTATTGACAAGAGCGGAGGTTGATGCGTGGATGAACGAGCGCACGGCGTCTGACTCGGACCTCAGTCCATCCACTGCGAGATCGTCAGTTGAGGATACCACTCTGAGAACCGCGAAAAGGCGGAAGAGGCGACGTCTGCCTAAGACGTGTGACTCGAGTGAGAGGGAGGAGGCCTTGCCTAAAAAGATGGTGCTACGAGCAAGAGGACCTCGTCCATCCACAGGTCATCACAGCGGAGAAGCATTAACAGACGCCAATCATCCTGCACCTCAATCTTCAACAAATATGGAAATGAGGTCTAAGACGGCTGCCGATTTAACGAGAGAGGTGACGGAAGCTGTGGCAAACATCACAAAAGTCGCTTCCAAATCAAAAGGTTCTTTCGTCCGAGTACTTAAGGACGCTGCTGCGACCATCACGGAAGCTGCGGCTCAACTAAGTGCCAGGACGTCCACAGAGGAAACGAGGAGGTTGCAGGCTGCCAATGCCCAGCTGCAGGAGGAAGTGGCTGAGCTGCGTAAGGCCATTTGCGACTTGAGATCCGAATTCCGGAATGTACGTCCGATCTCGGTGCCTCAAAGAGATGGTCAGACATTGACAGATGAGCTCACAATTTTGGTGGGCAGCCTGGTCAATGCTAGGGTAGATGCTCGCCTGGAAGCGCTTGCTGACAGGCTGCCTCCCTCAGCCCCAATGCGACCAGCTTTAGCTGCAGACAAAAGGCGGCAGGCGTCAGAAGTCACAACTGTGTCTGTAACGACGGCAGCTTCTTTGTCTCAGTCGAAAACTACTGCCACGAAACTGCTGAAAAAGTCGACGAAAAAGAAGAAGCAGAAGAAGAATAATGATGTATCCTGTGAGCCTAGTCGTCCACCACCGGAACCTGTGTCTACTGGCGAAGCTTGGTCTACGGTGGTACGGAAAAAGACTAAGAAAAAACAAGGAGGTGGTACTGTAGAGGAATATGCTTCTCAGAAAGGAAAGAAACAGACCAAAAAGATCCCTAAGTTGCGTCCTCCCCGTTCTGCGGCTGTAGTACTTACACTACAGCCCGAGGCTGAGACTCAAGGGTTAACATATCAGTCTGTAATCGCTGAAGCTAAGACCAAAGTAAACCTAGAAGAAATTGGTATAACGAAAGGGGTTCATTGGCGGAAGGCAGCAACAGGTGCTCGCATTTTGGAGATCTCCGGGGCTAACAACAGTGAGTTAGCGGATACTCTCGCTAAAGTCCTAAGAGATAGACTCGGTGATAATTTGGTCCGAGTCGCTAGACCCACGAAGTGCGCGGAACTACGCATTCTGGGCCTTGATGACTCGATAACATCGTCGGATGTGGCTATGGCGGTTGCAACGACTGGTGGCTGCACTTTAGATGACGTAAAGGTTGGCGATATTCGACGGAACCATGCTGGACTCGGAACAGTCTGGATCCGATGTCCAATTATAACTGCCAAAAAGCTGGCTGAAGACGGCAGGTTGATGGTAGGTTGGTCATCTGCTAAGGTGAAGCTTCTGGAGGCCCGACCTCTACGATGTTTCAAGTGCTTGCAAACCGGTCACGTCAGAGCTGTATGCACATCTGAGATAGATTGCAGTAACCAGTGTTATTGCTGTGGGGAATCTGGGCATAAGGCCAAAGAGTGTGTAGCACCACCCAAATGCTCGGTTTGTGCTACGTTAAATAAGCCGGCTGACCACAAGGTAGGCAGTCAGACATGTTCTGCTGCCACCGGCAAGTCGGATCAGCGCCGTCGACAGAGAAAAGCGAACGTTGATGGAGGCCCTAAGGTCCCTTCCCAACCTGCTCATCACATAGCTCGTGACCCGACTGAGGAGGATCAAATGGCTATCGGTTAATAATGTCTATCAGATTTCTCCAAACTAATTTGAATCATTGCGCCAGGGCTCAAGATCTACTGATTCAAAGTCTAGCGCAGTGGTCTATCCACGTTGCGGTTATCGCTGAACCATACCGCGTTCAAGCTCGAGACAATTGGATCGGAGACCAAGATGGCGTCGTTGCTCTGGTTACGCAAATTGGAGTAAGTTGGTCACCATTTACAATACTCTCACGTGGTCACGGTTTTGTGGGAGCACTCTATGGGGAGCTAACGGTCGTAGGGGTGTACTTTTCTCCAAACCGGAGCACCACCGAATTTGAGCAGTTCCTTGTAGACCTTGGCTCTTTCATACGACAGGCACACCCCCGCCTGATGATTGTGGCGGGTGACTTTAATGCCAAATCGATAGCATGGGGTTCTCCGGTATCAAATGCCCGAGGACGTATTCTCCTTGAATGGGCTGTATCTCTAGGACTTGAGGTAGTAAATAGGGGAAGGGCATACACGTGCGTGCGAAGACAAGGTAGCTCCATTGTGGACATCACATTCACGACGGCTGCCCTGGCACACCGTGTCCAGGACTGGAAGGTTATGGTCGATGTGGAGACGTTGTCCGATCATCGTTATATCCGATTTGACGTCTCCAGTACATCCCTAACATATAGAAGCAGTCCAAGAACCACTAACCCGATCCAGTCCGGGCCTCGGTGGGGGTTGAAGAAACTCGACCGAGAGTTGCTCCTGGAAGCCGCCCTTGTTCAATCGTGGTTATCGGCTCCGGAAGATGTGGATGTAGACACAGAAGCTCTTTGGTTCCAAGAATCGATGACGCATGTGTGCGACGCGTCGATGCCGCGGGCTTCAGCAGTGCACGTAAAAAATAGAGTGTATTGGTGGTCTGATGACCTTGCGCGTTTACGCGATGAGTGCAGGTCAGCGCGACACCAATACACTAGGCACAGACGGCGTCGACGACGTGACATGGAAGTCGAGGAGCGGTTGTACGCTGCTTATAAAGAAAGAAAGGCGGCACTATCCACTGGGATTGCACAGGCCATAGAAAGGTCCAGGGAAGAGTTCCTAGAGACCTTGAACAGTGATCCGTGGGGGAGACCGTATAGACTGGTCAGGGCCAAACTACGTCCCTGGGCCCCCCCACTGACGCAGAGTCTCCGGCCGGAGCTGCTGGATAGAGTCACCGACGCTCTCTTCCCGCTTACCAGGGAACACATCCCACCGAGGATGATACCTCCAGGAGAGACTCAAGAAGACGAGGAAGTAGAGAACGCACAAATACCAGAAGTTGCCGAGGCTGAGCTGGAAGCAGCTCGTCAACGCCTTCTTAGGAAAAAATGTGCCCCGGGTCTAGATGGCATACCCGGACGAGCTTGGGTCTTGGCTTTGGGTCCCCTAAAGCCACGACTGAGAGGCCTCTTCACGGCCTGTCTACGGCAATCGCGGGTTCCCAAGGCTTGGAAAACGGGAAAGCTGGTCTTGCTAAAGAAGGAAGGCCGTCCTTCTGACTCACCGTCCGCGTACAGGCCAATTGTCTTGCTGGACGAGATTAGTAAGCTGTTCGAGTCCGTGATAGCAGCTCGTCTTGCGGACCATTTGGAGCAAGTCGGGCCGAATATCAGCGATAATCAGTTCGGATTCCGCCGGGGCAGGTCCACTATTGATGCTATTGAACAAGTGAGGACCGTAACGAATGAGGCCGTGTCACGTGGCGAGGTGGTTTTGGCGGTGTCTTTAGACATCGCCAATGCCTTTAACACCTTACCCTTTGCCACAATACGGGAAGCCTTAAGATTCCATGGCGTTCCCAAATACTTGCGGAAGACGATCGAGCACTATCTGATCGATAGAGCCGTCAAGTATCCGGTTTGTGACGGATGGCAAGAGAGATTGGTGGTAAACGGTGTTCCACAGGGTTCGGTTTTGGGACCCCTTCTCTGGGATATCGGGTACGACTGGGTGCTGCGAGGAACAAACCTGCGGGGGGTTTGCGTAATTTGCTACGCTGACGATACTCTGGTAATGGCGCGTGAAACTACATATCGGCGAGCAGCACTCTTAGCCACAGCAGCAGTGGCTCAGGTAGTGGGACGAATTAGGAGGCTAGGTCTGGAGGTTGCATTGCACAAGTCCGAGGCCATCTGTTTCCATGGCCCTCGAATGGCACCTCCGGCAGAGGCTCAGCTAGTGATTGGAGGAGTCCAAATAAAAATCGAGTCGACATTGCGGTACTTAGGCATTGTCCTCGACTCCCGCTGGTCCTTCAAGCCCCACTTCAAGCTCCTGAGGTCGAGATTGCTGGGTGCAGCCACAGCACTTGGGCGTATACTCCCGAACCTGAGAGGGCCCACATCGTCATGTCGACGCCTTTACCTAGGTGTTGTTAAATCTATAGCCATGTACGGAGCACCGGTGTGGGCAAATTCGCTAAAAAACCAGAGTATCGCTCATTTACGTGCTGCGCAAAGAGTGTTAGCTATCCGTATGATACGGGGCTATAAAACTATCTCCGCGGAAGCTGCTTTCGTGTTGGCTGGATCTTTGCCATGGGATCTGGAGGCGAGGTCCCTCGCTTTCCTATATCGGTGGCGTGAAGATCGGAAAGCTCGTGGAGAAATGCCAACCCCAAACGAGGTAGAGGCGCAAAGGAAGGAGTTGCGTGGCGCAATGAGGGTGGAGTGGATGTCGAGGCTAGCTCAGCCGAAAGCAGGCATCCGTACAGTTGAGGCGATCCGTCCGATTCTGCTTCAGTGGCTAAATCGCGAACACGGAACACTTACTTTCCGACTGACCCAGGTCCTCTCCGGGCATGGATGTTTTGGAAGGTACCTTTGGCGTGTGGCTCGAAGGGAGCCAACTCCAGTATGCCATGGGTGTGGTTGTACTGAAGACACAGCACAACACACCCTTGAAGAGTGTCCATCCTGGGCCTGCGAACGAGCGAACCTCGTCGCTAAAATAGGGGACGACCTATCTCTATCGACCGTAGTTAAATCTATGCTCGATAGTTCCAGGTCGTGGCAGGCGGTCCTCTCCTTTTGCGAAACGGTCATGGTGCAAAAGGAAGCTGCGGAACGGCAGAGGGAAAACGACCCAATGTCGAGCCAAGAACGCCGCAGGAGAGTTGGGCGTAGGCGGCTCGCTCACGACCGTCGCCTTCCCCCTTAAGGAGGACCCGGGATGGCAGACACGGGGAGTCTGCCATCCCGCTACAACAAGGTCCTCGAGTCGGATGACGTGTCGTACCATCCTGGCACGTCTCTGGATGACTCCGCGAACCCATACTACTTTGGGTTCGTGACCGGTAAGCCATACCGGGAGGCCGCGGGCTGGGCGAAAGCGTTACCGCGGCCTCTTTCCACCTTTTGTGGCGAGGAGTAATTCCGCTGGTTTTTTAGTGGGTAAACTGGGTACTTAAACCTAGGAGTCCCACATAACCACATCTGCCGACCCCGGGTAGAGTGGTATGCGTAAAGCATTTTTCCAGCGACAACAAAAAAAAAAAAAAAAGGTGTTCAGGTCTCCCATTAGTATAAGGTGATCATAAGAAGGAGAAAATTTATCAAGAAGGGAATCTAAAGAAGGAAAATAATTAACGTGTGAAGAGGGGCTATATAAACACCGATCAAAAGCTTGGAATTGAGGACATTAACTTCGA